GAAGATGAGGAGAGATCATCAGACCCTAAATGGCGCAAAAATAGGGGACGTTCGAACAGAAGGCGGGCAAAGCAGACCGAGGCGAAGCGCACGAAATCCCGTCCTAGTGGGCTGAGACGCCGGCGGAGATGGGGATAACGTATTTCAAAAGTCGAGGTAAATTATAAAGGAAAGTCCTCAGCTGATAATATAAATTTGTTTGTTGTCTCACGACAAAGTCAGTAGATTTAGATCGATGTGATTTTAATTGTTATTAATATTATCATTATGATTTTAATTGTTATTAATATTATCATTGTTATTTTTGTTATTAATATTATCATTACTATTTTTATTGTTATTAATATTTTCATTATTATTTTTATTGTTATTAATATTTTCATCATTATTTTTATTGCTATTAATATTTTCATTATTATTTGTATTGTTATTAATATTATCATTGTTATTATTATTTCAACAGATTTATCAGCACAATCCAAACTCGACGACCAATAGACACCTTCAATCAAAAATATCCATTTCTGCACGAATACAAAGCTATCATATAGTAAAACTTTTAGAGATCAGCTTATATATATATACCATAAAATAAAAATTAAAGTGATGTCTTTTGTTCTTATGCGAATTTTGTTTAAAAATAAAAGCCATTAACAAGAACTTTGCCTCGATCCCTTCTGTGCTCAAAGGCAGTAAGCTTTCCTTATCTTTCCAGACGTTTTGACCCCTTCCAATAAAAAATAAAAAAAATAAAAAAAAAAATCAGTGCTTACCATAAAAGTTACTTTAAATGCAATAGTACTTGAGGCACTTATTACGTGTTTTATTTCATTTAACGCAATGTATCTTTTACCACCAAGTGAAACAATGTATTTTCTCATTGTGAACATCGATAATAGACAATATAAGACTTCCCACATTCCTCAAATGTTCTTGATATAAGCTCCTAGTAAGAATCAAGCTCATCGAAATCTGAACAAAGAGCCTACGGGAACGATGGAAAATATCTTGAGGCGCTGCCTTCTGGATTTGTCACATTTTCAAACGCGGAATACGATATAAAGAAAGAGAGGAAAAAAAACACTATGTGAAATTGGAATAGTCCTGGTGAGCAAAACTAGCGTTTAAGGTTCTTCGAGAATGAATGGCTCTCGGTGGTTTGCTTATGCTTGGAAAATTTTAAGGGAGCATTGCATGATATCCCAAAGAACGTCTAAGACCACAAAAACCCCCGCGATTGAACCCCAGGAAAATTCATCAAATCTGAAAAGTATCTTAAATTTTGTTTTGTTTTTGTTTTTGTTTTTGTTTTTTCTCTGGAAAAGAGCTTCTAAACGATACGATCTTTTTAACCTTACCGTTGAAAATTGCATATATCAGATACGAAAACAACACAATCTTTACGAGCGCAATCACCTCGTAGATAAACTGCTAAACAACCAAATTTAGAAGCACTCTAGATAATAAGGGAAAAAGGAAATTGCTACTTCAAAGCCAGCGCGCTATTTAGCGCCCACTTTCGAGAACTAAATTGTCCACATCGCACTAGTGGTTTTAAATTGTAGTTTAAATATTCATGAACGCTAAGATGAACAAAATAGTAAAGCTTATTTATCTACGCAATTTGGCTAAGGGTTGCTAAACGTTTTTTGACTTACGGACTAAACGTCGAGGGCTACAAAGGGACGAGAGCGATTGTAAATAACACATATAAGGCTTTATAATGTAGGGTGAGTGCATAAGTAGAATTAGTTTACTGATGTATATCAGTTTTTTTATAACATCATTCATTTTGGAAACATGTACACACAATGACATTTTTTTTTTATCTGGTTACCATATCACCATAACACTTTATTATCCAGCTTACATGAATTATTTATAGCAATAATAAAGCACGAGTTCAAATTTCCCGCGATATTGTACTGGTTATTTCCACAACCGATCATTTTGTACTGTAAAAAGTCAATCCGATATCCAAGCGTTACGCAGTATCTGTCACAAACTGCTTCTCTATTTACTTTTCTTTCCCTGTATTATAATGTACCTAAAATAAGTGGTCGGATAATGAACACCTTCGTAAAAGTTTTGATGTGAAGAACCGCTGAGTATTGTTACACGTTCCTTGGGCTCTTTAAAATACGTTGCAAAGGAAGAAAGGTATCGACGCTAATTTATTCCATCCTTATTTACTGATGTTTTAATTTAAGCAACTGTCCATAGCCCATGCCACCTCAGAAAAGACGACTAAAAAACTGCGGCGAGATTAGAACTCTATTGGTGAAATATTTGATAGTTGCACTTTTCACTTCCCCTCCTTCCCCTCATTACAGCAAAGCGTGTCAACACGGAACACCAAGAGGCCATGCTTTCATTTTCTTTTGGCATAGGAACTCTTGCTTTCCTTCAACTAATTAATATTAAAAATCACAGTTTATTATCGAGTTCACGCCATCAACTCAATATTTTACCGGGGGAAAAAAAATGAACAGCCGCCTCGAAAGAAGTAAACTATACTCGTGTCAGTACCTAAAACTTTTTTCATTCTTTAATATTTTCTTACAATTGCGCGTATACAAATCCAATACATCTTAAGATAATGTATTACACTTGCTTTCTCATTCAATTTGTCATTAAAAAGCTTTTCGGGGATTACATATGGGATTTAAAGGCCAATAAACATGTGCAACGATGAGCATATTGGAAGGTATGTTGCCTGATCATACATTTGAGAGAAACAGTTCATTTTTGTGGTGTGATCGATCGTGAGAGTGTCACTGTTGTGGGGCGTGCCAACTGACGATTGGACAACTTAAGTAAAAGTGGGAAGTCATCATCAGAAAATGACCAAAAGCGATCGGAGACGAAAATAGATATTTTTTTAACTCTTGACAAAAAACTCCAATATTCAGGCCAAATGACTGAAAAGTTGAGGAGATTAATTTTCCACGATACGGTTTAAGATTGATAACAAGTGTAATGGCTGTCAAAGGTTAATTTTTTCAGAATGTCGCCCTCTTCTCTTATTTATCAGTGCTGACCACTTTGAATTCTTGAAATCAGAGATCTCGGAAGTAGAGATCTGCTAAAACATGATGCAAACGTGAACGCGAGAAAGTGCGCTCAGGAATATCAGCGTCTCAAATAAATTCGTGATCGAGCACTTTATCTGTTGATAAAGAGGGCTCTTAGAGCTCGAAATCAATATGAAAATCAATCACTTGTACCTACTATCGAAGGATATGAAATGCACCGTGCACCACGACGCACGAGTCTCCGACGTGGGCTGATCAAAATTCAATACAAAGGAAAAAAGGGCATCGATGCTTTATTATCATTAACATTTATTGATATCCAGTTTTTAGAGAGAGAAAGCTGACAGAATAAATTGGAAACAGAAACGAACTTGGTTGGAGAAATCTTGCTTGGTCTCGCATGCATTTTTCTTTCTCTCTTCCTTCGTTTCTTTGCAGAATAGCGTGTCTTCATTTTCTCTTGGAGGTCGTCAGAGTTACTAAGTATCCTAATATTACCGGCGCCAAATATAGATCTTTTTCCTCTCACTCTTGATGTAAAGTTTCGTTTTCAAGCCGAGGTGATAGTGACTGAATAGTCGAGGAAACATTTTTCAAACCATATGCTTAAGGCTACCAAGAAGTGGAAAGACTGACGGACTGAACGCCAAGAACATTCGTGCCTTGGCTGGGAGAATTAGTTTATTTTTAAGAATGTCGTCCTCTTCTGTAATAAGTTTGATTTAGAGATACTCGAATGCAGAAATCTGCCTAAGCACGACGCAAATGTGGACGTGACATTGTTTACCACTGTAAAATAGTGCACTCATATCTGGCGACTCCTTAAATAATATTATGTTCGTGTTTTGCTGTTACACACTCTACTAAAAAAAAAATATAATAATAAACACGGGAAAATATATAGCTCAAAGCTTCAAAGCCAGCCTCTTTTTAGCTCTTTAAGAAAATGAATTGTCATTTTAACTATAAAATGTTTGGGAAACAAACAAACAATATAAATGCTTGCTTCGTTCTTGCGCCTTGCAAGTTAAGTAATGTTCACAATATGGACAGTCAGAGAACGGGCCTTTATAAGGACTTCCTTCTCCATGCTGGGGTAATGACCGGTCTAGAACTGACGTATAGAAGTCTTTCTGATACTGGTTGAATGTGTTAAATGAATTTGTACTTTACATCATTTCAGTCGATAACATGACATCACCCAGTTTCTTGGAATGAAGTGATATATTATCCTAGTATATACCACACGAGTGGATAGTGCTTTTCACGCGCGTTGATCGGCTGAAGTGACCGGAAGTGATTTACAAGTACTATTCGCCTCCAAGCAGCCAAAGAGACAACATCGCGCATCAACAATTCAATCACCAATCACCAACCATATATATATCGGCCTTCTGGGCCTCATCTCATATATATATTTATATATACCACTATTCACCTTCATTATTGTGAATAATTTAACATTGGAGCGTTTTCAAGCTTTAAATGAACTTAAAGTATTGCTTGAATGGCCGAGAACATTCCATATCTAGGGGTAAATAAACAGTTATCGTTTTCATCACCTAAAAGCCACATAATTGAAGGCGGTAAAAGGCAACGGATGACTCGGTTATTCATCAGGAAGTGCTCTTCCTGTCCTTTGTTATTGACACGGTCTGTTTTAAGAAACAGGTTTTAGAACAGATATTAAGTTCGGAAAACCCACGATCGCCTAATTTGCAGAACGTTTTCACGCCAGAAGCAATGTTTTGGTCAAATATATCCTGGCGGTTGGCTACATCTAAAAAACAAAATTCGATATCGGTGAAAAGAAACTCTTGATATCTTGATAAATTAGGCTCCTCTAAGACGATTACCAAATATGGAAATCACCTTCTTATTCTTGTTATAAAAGGGTACAAAATGTACCATGCGCCTAAGCGTGCGACTCAGAAGAAGGGAGGACTTCGCCATGAACAGCTTCCTCCTTATCGCTGTGTATGGAGCGACTCTTGCTATCACTTTAGCATTTACTTTTACTGAATACGGAAACGAAAAGAACACGACAGGCTATAAAAAGTCTCATGATGACTTTGAACCGGAATTTGAAGATGCTTTAAGGTACTGTAGTTAAGTAGAAATTCACTCTAAAAATCACATTTATCACCACCAATTAAGCACACAGGCGAGAAGAGATTTCAGCCTCATCGAATTTGACTTCGACCGGTATGAAAAAAACAAAAATGGGCTCTGAGAAGCTATATGATATTTGGAGAATTAAGATGGCCTAACTTTACAAACAACTTATTCAGCTCTATCAGTAATGTTGAAATAGTCTTTCTTAGAATTTGTCATTCTTTGTGTGGTAGCCAACTTGGTTAGCTGAGGTAGTGAAGTTTCATATGTGTAGCGAACTTGTGGCAAACATCAAGCGAAACCGATGTAAATTCATCATACTCCCAAAAACTATGCTTATTTTAGAGACGACTTCTCCCGCATTAGATAAACCTTAGACAGTGCAAGTCTGCTGGGAAATGCGACGATGGGTGGCATAAATAGCTCGTTGGATATAAACGATATATCGAGGAAGCAAAATTGTTGTTGAGCTGAAGCGATATATATCGTTTGGCTTAAAGGATATATCGCTATATATCGAAAACGATTATTTGCTTGGAGCTTAAGGATGGATCAGCGATTTGTAACGGCTGTTGTTGGAACAATAGCCCTGCGATACATCGCCAATCTATCATTCCAACTGAAATATTGTTCAAATATTGCTGATATATCGGGATTATCGCAATAACGACGAGTATCGTTTGCGCAGTACCGTAATATCACAAAATGGTGGCGTTTTGAACCGAATGACTAACTGGGTTAATTGGCTTTATCATAGAGTAAAAGGATACAGCAACCACAGGAGATTAAAAACTGTTAATAATCTATTTTCAGCCGAATATGTTAATTTACAAAGGTTTATTATATATATATATATATATATTTTTTTTTTTTAATTTTAATTTTTTAAATTTTTTATTTTAAGTGACTTGAATAGGAATGCTGAGGATTATGGCTTCTATAAAAACGAACCAGAAGCTGACATCGATGATGAAAAAGACGATAACGAAGGCGAGGAAAGCGATGTTTTGGATTTAGAGAAGAGAGCACCGGACCCCAAATCGCGGAAAGGGCACCCCCGCAGGTCTCTCATCCGTCCAAAAGTAGGACGAGCCCTATTGCGCCGCCGCCGTTCAGGAGTACGCCGTCGGCGTAGAAATGGCTAAAGTATGTCAAACAGTTGATATCCATGAAGTCGGTACGTGTTAAGTCCTCAGCTGCCTCCAAGTAACTTTCCTTCAAAAATTGTAATCAATTCAGTAGGGGAAAAGCTTTGTTAAGGGTTCTTAACTCTCACATGATTGGCCTTGGTTTGATTACCTTACCCGGTGTCACATTTTGATGTAGTTTGTTTCCTTTTCTCTTACCCATTCCGAAGGATTTCAAATTGGTTTAATGGTTTTCGTAGTTTCACCCCCCTCCCCCATTTCCTCCTAACAAACAACGCACTAGTAATTCCAAATTAATTGGGACTTCTTCAATGCATGGTTTCATGCGACTGAGGTATTTAACTGTTTCACATTATACGGTCGCACAAGCTAATGAATACTAAACCATTGAATAAAACCCAGTCGTAGGTTATCCTCACCTTTGCAATTAAAGACATTTATTATACATATACTGAACACCAGGGGACCCTGCATTATCCTTTGATTAATAAATTTGTCTTCATTAATATTGGATCCTTTTATATCAACAGATTTATGAAGACCGTCCGAGCTCGAAGACTAAAGAAAAATTTAATTTTAAAATCCTTCTCTGCAGTAATGCGTGGCCATGACAAAGAAATATTATTTAAATCCTAGCTAAGCTTAGAAATAGTTTTATTTTCATTATACTAGAACATTTCCTTTCAAAGTAATGTAAACGTGGGCAATAATCAAGAAATGTAATTCGCGTATTTTTGTGCTCAGTTGAGTGAAACTTTCCTTTCTTTTTTCAAGCGTATTGAATAAAAATTGTATATTAACTAAATTGATTAAGATCAGTTATTTAGGGAAAACAAATTTAGAAAATTTCAAAGCGGGTCATTTGGAGAAAAAAAAAACATGTTAATTGCTTTGTCAGGAGGGTAGGTAAAAGGAAAAAAAAATAAAGGAGCTTTAATTTCCCCAAGAGGATACAAACTACAGATATTCGAATTTTAAATTTTAATGCCACACTGTGAGCGTTATGTGCTAGGTCAAAATGTATGAGGAGTTCATTTCATTCTACATGTGATATCCTTTACCAGCAAACGATACAAATCTCGTTTTACATCGGCGAAGATATATTGAATAAGATGTATTCTCTCATTGTGAATATCGGTAACATGTGACATTTCCAAACGCGGAATACGATTGAAAGAGAGAAAGAAAAAAAACCGTGATGAATTGGAATAATTTCGATAATCAAAATTGGCGTGAAAGGTTCTTCGAGAATGGAGGGTTCTCGATGGTTTACTTATGCTTGGAAAGTTTTGGGGGAGTGTTGCATGACATTCCAATTCTAAGACTACAAAACCCTTACATTTGAACCGCTAGAAAAGTCAATTAATCTAAAAAGTGTTACTTCCCATTATAATAAAATTCGGATACAACACGCGCTGCCATTGGTTGAAAGAGCGTGCTCTAAAGCTGTCACGCCATCTGCCAAATTGTACTATGTTCGACCTTTTCCGGGACTTCTTTTTAGCTTTTTCCCGATAATTGAAAGTGACATTTCGGAATAAGCGAGCTGGCAAGTAGCAACAGAAGAACCAAACAAAGGTTTGTAAACATACCAGGCGCCGTAATTTACGTTATTAAAACGTGAGCAGATACGAAAACCCACAAAGGAAAAACAAAATTGACATTCCGAAACTGGCATAACTGTTAAAATTTCTCTAATCATGACGGTGTCTGAGCGAATATGATCATGCTGAAGTCCATCGCGGCTCGCTCATCATGGCGATCTCCGGTCATCACAGAAAAGCAAGCCTCAGAAACTACATCGGCCGCCCTTTGAGTGAAAAAATAAGAACTTGCTCTGATATCCTTTCCGATGCGTTGAGTGGAAAGTCACATCTGTCACTGCAGCTGAGTTTTGCCGCGCTGTCATCCCGATCTTCATGTTCCGGTGAATTCGGCTGCACTCAAGAAGTGGGGAGAAACACGAGACGTATTCCTATTTGTTAATTAAATTATTTATATTTCCATGGCTGCATGCAAGGAGTATTCTCATTGCATTGTCGCTTTCGAGTAATGACGCTATTATTCTGAATACCATATTACTTCTTTTACATTAAAACATCACACTTACAAAATACATGGATCAACATGGAAAAATATTTAATGAAGCATAACAACCCAAAATAGCAGCAGAAAATACCTCAGGCGTTCTGTATTGGGCGTCTGCAAACTAAGAAAGACTAGGAACCAAAACTTCCCAGCTAGCAAGCGTGCTATACGTAGATTTTTTGCACAAAAAAGAATATGTCATTCATTTCAACAGGTCCTCTGTATTCAACGTGGCGGCAAAAGGTTTTTACTCATATCAATAACTGCTCAACAACAAACCTACGATGCCTATTGAAGCAGTGTGAAAATAGAAATAGCGTGATATTTTGGATGAAACTAAAAGATCTTTCTATTTGAAGAGGCAGTTGTCACAAATTTATTTATATTTCTGAACCAATATACGCGGTGTATGCACATCCGCATTAAGAAAATAATTTCATTTGAAATTTACACTTCTTCTCGTGCTCAATATTATGGTGAGGAAATCGAAATTTGAGTGGACAAGATTCGATGGGCAACAAAAATGTGCAGTGATTATTATATCGTAGATTCAGTAGCTTGAACATAGGAGACGCGGTTCATCGTGTTGTTTGAACGAACGTCAAATACGTCGTCATTTACGTTATCATTTTACCTGTGAGAACATAAAATAGTCAACAGAGATCGAGGACAAAGTAGACTTTATTTTGACAAAAAGCTTGATTAATAGGCCAAGGCCAATGAATTTGGGAGGAATTTGTTTCCGGCTTATTATTAGGGAGGGTACGTTTTAAGTGGATGGGCTAATGTTATTGAAGCCTGGAGCATTTGCACCGAGGCTGGAAAGAGAAGCTTATTCATCAGGATGTCAGTCCTCGTCTGTTCCTGATTAGCGTCAAAATTTGAATTTGAAGTCTTGAAATCAGAGATGCCCGGAAGGATATATGTGCACAAAATACAAAACAAATGTGGCCGTGATATTGTAAGGCACTCTTCAAAAAGTGCACTCATATCTACCGACTCCTTCATTCGATTGCTCCATGATGAGGTTTATCGCCACGACACAATTATTTTAAGTTCACTGGAATATCGTTGTGGCCGAAATATTCCCGGGGTGTAAAAGTGTATCAGGACTTATTAAAAAATCCAGCAGTCCTATTAAGTGCATGAATATAGGTTGCTAAAATGAAAATTATCAACACTTTAATGGTGATCGTGAACAGGCGAAAAATTTTCCTGCACTTGTTCAAAGTAATCCTCTATTTAACACTTTCGGGGAGAAAATGTGGCCTTGATATTGTTAGCCACTCTTAATAAATGCGCTCATATCTGCAGACTCCTTCATTTGAGTGTCTAATGATTAAGTTTATCGCTTGCACGCAATTATTTAAGTTCACTGGAGTATCGTGGTTGCCGAAATGTTCCCGAGCATTGCAAGTGTATCACGATTTATAAAGAAACTAAAAATATCGTAGTCCTAGTAAGTGGATGATTATAAATTGCCAGGGCTTGTTTTAGACGTGCCGAACCCAATTCATTCAGGTTCGACTATGGAACCTCACTGGGGCGACAGCTGATTCAAAGGGCGTATCGTGTGTCGCACCTAATATAAGAAACGCAGGAGACTGGGTCTGATAACAATTTTCGCGCCAAAATTCAACTTTCTAATTGGTGGGTTTGAAAGAAAGGATAGCTCTCATTAGGGCGCTTTCTCAGAGAAATCAGCGCAGGAGGATGTCTTCAGAAGGTGCTCTCATGTTTGATGCATTACGAAGAAGGTGGATGATTCTTTTCTTTTCCTTGGATGGGCTTTTAATGCTCTCACGTAAGCAATCTATGGCTACCGATAGAGTTCATCTGTTCTCGTCGTTTCGCAGAATGATAAACAATCCTTCACTGCTGGTCCCAGTTACTTCCACTTGTCTCTTCATCTTTTCGTGAAAGCACGCCTTGCAATACGCCACTGAAGCCTCTGCTCTCCAACTAGGAACATCTTAGCTATTTTTAAACACTGAACATTGCATCCGGAACTGCTCTTTTCATGTTAAACACGTGTGCGTTGCGTCTTTAAACCAAGACGAACACATGCCTTTTTCTCTCCTCGCCATCTTGTTTGCGCATGACTCTTACTCCAACTGGAGATTTGTGGGTAGAACATAATTAATGTGATTTATGTGAAGTATATGCATTTAGTTCAGCACATGAGAAGAACGACATCTGTGTAAAAAATCCATTTAAGGAAAAAGAGACTAGACTCCAAACCTCCGTAGAAAATATGTATAAACTTGTTAAACAAACCACAAGATTTGGCTAAAACGAAAACTCCAAAACTTCTCAAAATTCCAATCAAAAGAGAGACAAATTTACGCGAACAAAAGCTTACAAAAAAAACTTAGTAAAACCCCGCGAAAAAAAAACTAAAAGTACAAGAAAAATGTCCGTCAGTTTTTCCATTGTCAAGGTTAGAGTTCTTTGACGTGATTGGCTAATTTGTGAAATCACGCGTACCATGCGTGAATATAAAAAGAATGCAAAGGGAGTAGAAGAAGAGAAAAATTGCTTTTTGAAATTTAAAAACGAAAGGGATTTTCTACAAAAGAAGGCCCCAAAAGAAGTTTGATTTAACTAGTATGACATATGAACCTATTTATTGAACCTATTTATTTACTGTGGGGCACTCAATACTTGTCTCCAATCTATAAGGTTATTTTTGGTACTGTATTATATGAAATAACACACAATGGTGGCGTTTAGAACTGGGCGTCTCTCTATACCAGATGCCATGGAGTGAACTTTAAAATAATCAGGCTTTATATCATCATCATCATATTTTATTTGCCTTATTTACATAATACAAAAAAAAAATTATTTACAGCGGTTATAGCTAGAAGTCGAGGAGACCCAGGAAGCCACCGGGCTTATGGGAGAGCCACCTCACTTACATTAATAAATAAAGTAAAGAAAAAGTGCTGCGAATGTGCGGCTAGGCCAATTCAAGGATTATTTAAGTAAAAACTCTTGCATTTTCGTCTTAAAACTTAGAAGGTTTGACGAACAAGTGACTGAAACAGGAAGAGAGTTCCAAATTTTAGGACCTTGGTAAAGAATTGTAAACTGCTTGAGATTTGTACGGCACAAATGCGTTCGATAATTACTGGCTGTTCTGGTACCATAGTTGTGAGTTTGGCTATTCGTTACAAAAAAATTGAGAAGCAATGGAGGCAATAAGTTATTTCTATAATAAAACATGAATTTGGCGATTTCAAACGTATTGACTTGGAAAATATCTTAAGTTCCTAGTTTGGAGAATAAAGGAGCGGAATGGGCTCGATAGTCTGAGTTGGTGATAGCCGCACAGCTTGCTTTTGGAAGTAGTAAATTCTATTTAAGTTAGATACGTATGTGGACGACCAGGCACAGTTACAATAGACGATATAAGGATAAATTAAGGTGTAGTACAAAGTGAGCTTGGTTGTAGAGGATAAGAAAAAGCGAGACCTGAATATAATACCTATTGATTTAGCGATTTGTTTACATACATAGCTGATATGGTGTTTCCAAGTGAGATGATCATCAATATAGACCCCAAGGAATTTAGTTACGTCAGATTGTTGTAGGGGTTTACCTCCAAAGGAGAGAGAAATGCTGGAGTTAAATTTCTTCTGTCTGGTTTTAAAAATTACGTAGTTAATTTTCCTTATATTAACTG